ATATCAAGGAGGCGCACACAGACAACGCTGCTTTGGGGTCCGTGCTAAAAGTCGCGAGCTGCAGATTTAGCAACAACAGCAGCGCCAACGTCAACGCAGCTATTTTTGGACGTTCCACATTACGTTTGGGTTTGATATGGGGGAGCGTTTCAGAAGGGGGCCGCCATTGCTGCAGCCACGGCGAATGGGGACACCGATGGGAACTGGCGGCGCAGTAGCGGAAGTGAGGCCGAGGCGGCTAGTAGTTGCTAAATGCTGCAGCGAATTCTGCAGAAGCTGGCGGAGTACGGTTGGGCATGGTTTAGATATAAATATGGAAATCTATGCTAATACAGTATATTGAACAATTCTACGTTGCAGTGGAGACGCTTAACAATGGCAACGGACTGTTGCACTCGCCGCCGCACAATCATCAGCAGCAGCAGCAACAGCAGCGTGGTGCCGCAGTAACATCTCCAGGTGCGGGTTCTGGCAGCGCCGCCGATCATAATATACAAATAACACAGCCCATAAGTGCGCCGTCTTCGCCCTTGGCGTCCCCTGGCGCACTGAACAGCAGCAACAGTGGCAGTAGTCCCACCACGTTTTGCCTACCCTCCAGTTCAGCGGCCGCAGCGGCCATTGCCTCGGCAGCGGCTGCGGCAAACGCAGCTATCGCAACGTCAACGCCCAGCAGCGGCAGCGGATCATATGTGTGCGCAGCTGGCAGCAATAGCAGCTATGCCGCCGTAGGCGCCTCCAATGCAATTGACACGGCCGATCCAAACTGGCAGGCCAGCAAGGCAACCGTGCTGGAGCGCAATGCGGCAATGTTTAACAATGAGTTGCTGTCAGATGTCAAGTTCATCGTGGGCAGCGAGTTTGGTAGGCTATAACGAATCCCATAGGAGACAGCAAATTAATCGTATTCCTTTACAAATTCAATAGATTTTGATCCCATTCAGACTATACCCGCACACAAATATATACTTGCAACGGGCAGCTCTGTATTCTATGCCATGTTCTACGGCGGCTTAGCGGAGGACAAGCAGGAAATCAAGGTGCCCGATGTAGAGCCCACAGCCTTTTTAACGCTTCTAAGGTAAGAGTCGTTTATTTAATTGCCTAATTCCAAATTTACTTAAAATCTCTGTAGGTATCTTTATTGTGATGAAATCAAACTGGAACCTGAACACATACTGGCCACTTTGTATGCAGCCAAGAAATATATTGTGCCACATTTGGCGCGCGCCTGCGTCAACTATCTGGAAGTAAAGCTGACGGCAAAAAACGCCTGCCTACTTCTCAGTCAATCGCGTCTTTTCGAGGAGCCCGAACTGATGCAACGTTGCTGGGAAGTGATCGATGCTCAGGCCGAGATGGCGGTTAAGTCCGAAGACTTTGTGGACATTGACCTCAAGACTTTCGAGTCTATACTGTCACGCGAGACACTAAACTGCAAGGAGATACATCTATTTGAAGCTGCGCTCAATTGGGCAATCAATGCATGTGAGAAGATGAGCATCGACGAAACGTCGCCAAACAAGCGCCGAGTTCTGGGACAGGCGTTGCATCTGATACGCATACCGACCATGACCCTGGAAGAGTTTGCTAATGGTGTAGCCCAAACGGGCATACTCACATCCCAGGAGACAATTGACATGTTCTTGCATTTCACAGCCAAAATCAAGCCCACTCTCAGCTTCCCCACGCGACCGCGAGCAGGTCTTAAAACCCAAGTTTGCCATCGCTTCCAATCGTGCGCCTATCGGTCAAATCAGTGGCGCTACCGGGGCCGCTGTGATTCCATACAGTTCTCAGTAGATCGCAGGTGAGTCAAACAGAAATATATATACGATCATAAATAATAAATAAATACTTTTGCCTCCCCTTAGAATTTTCATTGTGGGCTTTGGCCTCTACGGTTCTTCGACGGGAGCGGCCAACTACAATGTTAAAATTGAACTGAAGCGATTGGGGCGTACGCTGGCAGAGAATGATACAAAGTTCTTTTCAGATGGGTCGAGCAACACTTTCCATGTGTTCTTCGAGAATCCCATACAGATCGAACCAGAGTGCTATTACACAGCGTCAGTTATACTGGATGGCAATGAGCTAAGCTTTTTTGGCCAGGAGGGCATGTCTGAAGTGCTCATGGGCAATGTTACATTCCAATTCCAATGCTCGTCGGAGAGCACCAATGGCACGGGCGTGCAGGGTGGCCAGATCCCCGAACTAATCTTCTACGGACCCACTACAGTAACCGCCCTAAACTCGCCCACAAGCTCAATATGCGCAACGCCCATAGGAGCGACACCGAATGTCACAAATGGCAGCAATGGGGCAACCGCAAGCAATTCGAGCAACAATGTTAATAATGCTACTGAAGAGTTGCCTCTTGGCAGCACGGCCGCCAGCAGCGATGGCAGCAACACCTGATGCGCGCAGTTATACTGTGCGGAGTGGCAGGGCGCATGCTATTATCGCCAGCAGCCGCAGCAGCAGCAACAACAGAAAAGACCAACACAGACGCAACAACAAGAACATACACAAAATCGAAACTCATGGGTTTTCAGTGCAACACAACAAAGCAAATTGGAGTTTTAAGGATATCGATATTAGTATGATATATAAGAATGATATATATCTGTATGATATATATATACATAAAGTTATTATATACACACACACCTATACGACACACGTAGAGCGCTCTAGTTTTGGTAGTACATTGAGATATATATATATATATATACAAACATATAGTCTGTTGGTAAATGCATACAAACAAAATATTTTAAATTCGAAAGCGTAAACCCGCAGAAGTCAACCATATACACACATACATACACTTATACTAAATACGTTCCAAAAACCTGAGACGTGAAAGCCAGCATGTAAGGTAATCAGAGGCATCTTCAATAAGCAAGTAAACAACGGGCAATCAGTCAAGCTAATGATAACTAAATATATTCTAAACAAAATTGAATGCAAAACACGACATACAAACATATTTTTTGCCAGCATATACTAAACATATAAATAAATATTGATATATACTATATACACTTGAAAGAGTATTATGTTGAAGTATGCGTACGAATTTGAAAGCCAAGTTAAACATTTAATGATGTACACACTTAATTAGGATTTGCCAAACTCTCAAATAAGAAAGACAATGATATTATGCGCAAAAATTATCTTTATGCATATCTTGTAGTGTGAATTTGTAGTTGCATTAGTTGCACAATATGACGCATCTCTTCAAGCCAGACGTACTCATTTTATACTTGATTACGAAACTTTCATATAAACCCATACTAAAGCCTTTCCTATGATATAAAACCAACCAATTTTGCATCAATCTGCCCAGGCTGCTCTACGCAACAATGATATTTCTGTTCAAGTTTTTGATTTCTTTGGAAATTGTACTGATTTTTGCTTTTCAAATAAAAACGATCGTTTTTATACATATAATTTAAGACGAATGTTATCCTATATTGAATATGAAATCTTTGAATTGTGTATTATGATTATTAACCAATAAAATACATTATTAGATTTTTTCGAATTTAAACAGCATTAGATTTGCATGTGACTATGGGAACGACGTCTTTGACGTCTTTGGTCTTGACTCGCTCCTCTCATTTTTCCCTCACTTTCTCGTTTCTATCACTTTGCCCCTCTTACGCATTTCTATCCGTACTTCCTAAACGCTAATTACTCAGACCGATATGGATATTCATTGAACATTTTGTAAGAAAGGGAGTATTTAGGGGCTTTTCTGATTGTGTTTTGGAAATACTGATATGGGGGTATTACTAATTGAAAGGTATGCAGCTAAACCAGCAAGCACAATTGAAACTCACCCACGGATGGTATATTAATGCACAAGGCATGTGACAGCTTCAAGTAAGTGCGTCCAAGCTCGTACGAGCAAATCTGCTGTACATCACTTATGTCGATAAGAAGATCTGCAAGAACAAGACTCATTAATTGCCATTGTTTTGCCACAGTCAAGCACTGCCCACTTACGTGAGGTGCCCTCAGTGCGGCAGGTCATGTACACGCAAGCAGCATAAATGTGGGTGCTCTTGCGGCCACGCGTTAGATGACGATGCAGCGCCATCTTGAAGAAGTTGAGAGCTGTGTCCGCGTAATGCTGGGTCAACTGCAGCTGCTGGCACAAGAGCGTTATGTCGCGCTTAGCCTTCTTGATTGTTACCTCGCGAGACTCTGTGCCGGAGCCAACTTGGAATTTGCCATATCCATAATTTGTGGCACCGCCCGAGGACTCGGCGGAAACAAACTGTCCAATGGCGGCGGCGCCATGGCCCATTTCTTCGAATTGCACCTCGGAAACAATGAGCGAATCCTCCAGCACAGAGCCGCAGTTCATGCAGACTAAAAGCAGCGTCAAGGATTATTAAGAGGTGGCATATATTAAGTCGGATATAGTTACCGCGATCGCCGCGTGCATTATCCTCCTCGATCTCATTAGATCCGCAGTTGCGACACTTTAATCCCGTCGACATGATGTTTATTCAGCTACTCGATAATAAGAAAATATCTAGAGAGTCCTAAATGGGAGTACAAAATAGCAACTCGAGTAGGCATAAGGACCGTCTTTCACGACATTTTAATTATACATATATACACAATTTTATTTAAACTAAAAATAACGCCGCACGCGTTTTTGCAAAAGCGCAAAATACCAATAATCAGCTGTTATTTCTAGTACGCTGTTAACAAATAAAGCCCGATACGCAAAATCTTTCAAGCAATGCAGCAATAAAATTTTATTTGAATAAATAAAGCATTTGAAAATACAAAACCTTGTCTCCACATTTAATACCGTCATTGATAAATATGTGTATATTTTTTACATCATTACAATATATTAAAAACAGTATTGACTAAATACGTAAAGGAGACTGTCACCACAACTCTTATGAGTCGCATATCCAGCGCAGTGAACACTTACAACACTGCGCTGTCGATTTCGTGCACATACCAACACTGGATAATATTCAGCGAAAAAGCAACTGGGAAATCGACGAGCAGGCCAGGCGGCATTTAGAATTTGTTAAATTTGTATATCAAACGAGAAAACGAAAAGCATTCTTATGAGTATGGCTGACGGCGATAGTGCAATCCCTATAAGTGGAGAGGCTAAGCCAACAGCCGGCATGCAGATAATACCAGGAGAGCTGGTGGCTTCAATTGAGGAAATCGTTATGATTGATCCCGAATGCTATGAACTGGATCTGAATCATCGCCGCATAGATAAGCTGGAGAATTTCGAGCCACTTAAACAGATCGAGCGTTTGTATCTGCGATGGAATCTGATCAAGAAGATTGAGAACCTGGATATGCTGAAAACCCTTTTGGAGCTGGAACTGTACGATAACCAGATCACAAAAATTGAGAATCTGGACAAGCTAGTTAACCTGGAAATACTGGATCTCAGCTTCAATCGGCTGACCAAAATTGAGAACTTGGACAAGCTGCTCAAGCTTGAGAAGCTCTATTTTGTGGCAAACAAACTCACCGTTATCGAGAACGTCGGCATGCTGACTAATCTGACCATGCTGGAGCTTGGCGACAACAAGCTAAAGAAAATAGAGAACATCGAGACATTGGTGAATTTACGACAGCTGTTTCTGGGCAAGAACAAAATCGCAAAAATTGAAAATCTCGATACGCTAGTCAACCTGGAGATATTGAGTCTGCAGGCCAATCGTATAGTTAAGATTGAAAACTTGGAGAAGCTGACCAATTTGAAAGAGCTATACATATCCGAAAACGGCATAGAAACCATAGAGAATCTGTCCGAGAACAAAAACCTGGACACACTAGATCTAGCTAAGAACAGGTTGAAGCTAATTGGCAACTTGGAGGCCCTCGAGCAGCTGGAGGAGATCTGGCTGAATGACAATGGCATCGACAACTGGAAGAACCTCGAGGTGCTCAAGATGAACAAGTCGTTGCAGACCATCTATTTGGAACACAATCCAGTGGCGACAGATATACGCTATCGTTCCAAATTGCGCGATATCTTACCCCATTTGCAGAAAATTGATGCCACCCTGTGCGTGTTGCCGGGCGCACACGCGTAACGTTCTGGTTAATCTTATATCGAATTCATTAATTACATTAATATGAAACAAACTAAAAGTTTAAAAATATATATTCCAAATTTGAGTTTTTTGCTTATGTTTTCTTCGAGCGGGTACTTACTAGATCCTTTGTCATTGGCCAGGCAATTTATTTTTAAACAGAATCTCAATTGCACAATTTTTTTCAAAAACAATTTATTGTATGTACATTACTGGCTGTCTGAACATTAAAGAATCGGGTATAAATAGCTTTATAAAAATAAACGGATCCCATTATATTGAGCGCAAGTACTATTATACGATCCCTTAAATTAAATCTTTATATTTGCTTAAGTCGCATTTTTCCTGATATCTGTTGCTTTCACCAATTTCTCATTACTTCGCAGAACCATATCAAATATTTTCAGTACAATATCGCCAGTTCAATGAGACAATTCTCTTATCAATGTACATAATTCTTTCTCGGATGGTAAACAAAGGACTGGCGCGTCAAGTGGCAGCTAAAACGTAGATACTACGTTAATCAGTGCTTAAATCTTAATAGCGTAATAGTCCGAGGCGTTGACCTGGTGCGGCCCACCATAGAAGTCCAGCACAAATATGTTCCTTATGTTCAGTTCGCACAGATAGAAATGATGCTCTATAAAAAACATGCATGATAAAGAATAAGCGTAACTAGTACAATTCTACAATTCTAGTTACCAATTATCCACCTGGCCGCCGCTGGATGGCGATTTATAAAAGTGTTCATTGCAGGTTTATAGCTTGGTGCATGCTCCGGGAGCTGTTAAATCCATGACTATATTATTGTTGTAAAAATGAATTGATCGATCGCAACAGACCTTTTTCACTTGACCGCTGATGATGACACGCGCACAGGTTGGCTCCATGGGATCCTTGCTTGCATTCGTGCAGCTCAGCGTCTGCTCAGCCGTAAACATGAAAGTCACCTTGTTATTTTTTTGCCAATCTGGGCCCGTAAAATCCAAATCGGTTAGCAAAAATCGTATTACGCCCGTGGAGTTGCCATCAAGACCATTGTCATCGATCGATATAATATTAACCATGGGATAGTCCTTCACAGCTTCGTTAGTTGAAATGCTGCCCACAGATGCCCAATTGGCACGGTGCACCAGCTGGCGCGCGATCTTGGCATGATTTAGTTCCAGCTGCCGCTTATATTCAGCGATAATCCGAGCATCCTGAAGAGCCGAATAGGCCTGCGTATGGCTAAGGAATACACAGGCAACCAGTAAAAGCAGCAGCTGCTGACACCCAATATGCATTCTGTTGCGGCGACTGAGAAAGATCAGCGAATATGCTCAACGGTTCTCTCTGAAATGCGCACTGTGAAGCGTAAAGTGGAACTGCGACACTTTTAAAGGTATTTATTCACATGGCCTTATCTGGGGGAATCAAATGCATTTTCCTATATACTTACATATGTAAGACTCGAATAAAGCTCATGACTCAAGCGGACAAAAAGAACAAAGAGCAGTCTACAGTCTACCGTCTACAAGTTGATCAATTCCCTTATGTTTTTTTTTTTCGGGCTAGCAAATCTGCTTACTCTTAACACAATTTCCACAATTACGTTTCGTTTAACTGCACTATCTTGCTTACCTGACTTTATTTATTTATTTAGTTTAGTTAAGTCCTAAAGTTAATGTCGTCTTATTTGAAAAGTCGGGGTGCAAGTGCGTTGTTTTGCCTTCGGAGAGTCTATCGCAATGAATAAGCAGTTGCGATTTTCTTATCGCAAGCTGTGAGCGAGAGAGAGACAGAGGGAGAGAGAGTGCCCAGCTGTTCTATAAGAAACTATCTCACACTCACACGCACACTCTAATACAAAGGCATGAACAACAGCTGTTAATTTTCTAGTAAAGCTTTTAAGCTCGGGTTGTGGTTTAACATTGAATTTTAACATTTTGTTTATTTCTCAAATATGTTTTTTATGTTTAGGAATATCTTTACATTTTGACTTTCTCGAATCCATCGCTCTAGTCTAACATATATTCTCGTAACTTGTACTTACATTTCAACTTTTCATCTTTTTAACTTGACTGCATAAGGTGAGATTTCCTCATCTTCATATTTAGTATGTATTATGTGTGTGCTTCAGTGTGCGAACATTTTTTAACATTTATTTCTATTTTGTTACGTTTCCGTATATTTTGTTTGTTTCTTTGTTTTGTACCGTTTGAATTTTACGTTATTCGTACTTTGTTTACTATTTTTGTTAAGAATTTTGTAATTAGATTACAATTGTATGCATTCAATATCTCATGGATTCTTGAAATAAGACATAGTATATGTATAGAATTCAAGTGATTTTAAAAAATATTTGTGTATATATGTATATGTAAAATATGTATGTAAAAGTATAGCTATAGATCGCACTATGATTTATGCATGTAGTTAAAGTTAGTTTCGTTGATTCAGTTGTATTTTGTTTTAAAAGTGATTTAAAGCCCATTTGCGTTGCAACAGAGAACAGCTCAATATATGTATGTATGTGTTTGTTCTTTACAAAAAAAAAAAAAAAACTTGTAGTCTTTCTCTTACAAAAATAAATAGTGCAGTGTTTAAAAGACAGAATAGATTTTGAGCTGTTTAGACATTAATATTCATTATTAATTATTCATTATTCATTATTCATTGAGTGCAGCTGTGGCACCCACATATGTATGTATGTTGTACAACACTGATAATTATTTGCGTATGTATAGTACGGTATGCATGTGTAGAACCAGAGTATTTCTGGTTCAATTGTTATCTCTAGATACTTATGTATTTTGCTTATCAAATAACTGGCATTTCTCTACTCGTAAGTATTGTGTTTTCAATGCTTGCCATACAAAAATGTATGCGATTTTGGTAACCAAATGCATGAGATATATAACAATTATAATTATAGACGCGCACACATATTGACTTTACGTTAACTCGATTTTTGTTTTATTTTTATTTTTTTTATGTTTTTGTTTCCTTTAACTTTTTGGCTATTCAAAACCATTCCAAATGTTTAACATACATATAATGCATGTGCTAAGTATATGTTTATTACATTTATATATACCTATGGTGCGCTACAAGCAAATCCAATTTTTTGCTTTAATACACAAATATGTTCTTATAGATAGAGGTGCATTATATCCACATAGTACTTGCTTGAAGCGCTCAAAAAACTTGCAATTTCAACTTGCGTCGTTACTGTCGTCAACTTTAATCAAATTATTTTAATACTTTTGTTTTTATGTTCTTATAAGCATACGAAGTACTCTACTAATTATATTTATTTGTGTATATGCGTGTATATATTTTTAGTTTAAATTTGTTTTTTAATTTTTTCAAACAATTCCTTGGCGCTTGCGTATTTTTTGTGGTTTTGAACATTCGATTTAGCTTTCCTTTATGACAATTAGTTTGTTAATGTCTTTAAACGAGTATCAAACAAAAAGAGTCTAAAGCTTTAATATAATTAAATTTAGTTTCGTTTAGTGAGTGTTTTTGTTTGTTTCTTTGTTTTTTTATGACTAGCTTGGAAGCATAAAACTAAAACCAAAAAGTTGAGGACCAAATCAGATGACGCTAAGCAGCTTCAAAGTGAACAACTTAAGAGTTAAACCATAAGGTAAAAGCAAATCGGGGCAGTTTTACAATACGCGGGACGTTGGTATAACAATTTAAAGCTATCATTTGCCAGGCAACGCACTCCAGTCGGGTTTCAGGGAGAGGTTACACCCACAGGCATGGCCAGGGTCCGGGCTGGGTAGCGAATCTTAGCTGAGCTCGCACCGTTAGCGCCGATCGCTGGACTGTTTACCCTGCGTCTGTTGCTCCGTCTGCAGCTCGTACTGATAGTAGCAATCGCTGCCCACATAGACGGTGCGCCAGACGCCATCCACATCTCACATTTGCCGGTAAGGCGAGTGCATCTTCAGCCACTGCAGCACGAGCGATGGGCCGCCGGCTTGTATCTCGGGCGGAATAGTGCCCAGTGGGCATTTGTCAATGTTCAAATATTTCAAATTTTGGCACAGTGCCAATTCAAAGGGCAACTTCTCCAAGCCTGGATTTTGATTGATATAGAGGTTCTCCAGGCTTTCCAGCGAACCAATCTCTTCGGGCAAAAACTGCAGATTGTTCTCGCTTACAGAAAGATGTGTGAGGTTGCTCAAATGGCCAATGCTACGCGGAAGCATGGTTATCTGATTGGTTTGTAGTATTAATCGCTGTAGCTCGTGCAGCAGGCCAATCTCATGAGGTAGCACCTCGATGCGATTTTCCTCCAGGTCCAGGATGCGTAACTTGCGCAAGTTACCAATCGTATTAGGTATCTTCTTGAGCATGTTGTTGGACAGTATGAGTATTTCCAAATTCTGCAAATTCATGATGTCATCGGGCAGCTTTTGCAATGCATTGGTGGCCAAGTTCAGCTCTACCATGTTAACCCAAGTGCCAACATCTAGCGGCAAAGCGGTCAGCATGTTCTCCTTCATATTCAGCTTTGTTAGGCCCTTGGCTCGCGAGAATATTCCATATGGTATCTTGTCTATACGATTGTGCTCCAGATTGATGCTATAGACATTGGTGAACTGCGCCGGCCCACCAGTTGGATAGCTGGTAAACTGATTTCGTGACAACGTTATGGTGGTCAGCGCGCTTAAGCTAGCCAGCATGCCATCTGGCAGCTGCGTGATGCCGTTGCCCTCCACATTAAACTCATCCATGCTTTTGCAGTTCTTCAATGAGATGGGCACGCAGTTCAGCCGGTTGTAGCGCAAACCCAGACGCACCAACGACTTCAGATTACCAATGCTATCCGGGATGTCTAGCAGCTCGTTGTGCTGCAAATCGAGTGCACTTAGATTCACACAGTTGCCAATGTCGTCCGGCAAGTGCTCCAAATGATTATGGGATACATCCAGCGTGGTCAAATTCACCAACGCTCCGATCGCACTGCCCAGCTCCTTGATTTTGTTCTCGCGCAGACTCAGCATGGTGAGATTGACCAGCTGGCGCAGATCATCCGCCACGGCCGTGATTCTATTGAAGCGGAGATACAGCGTCGTCAATGAACGCAGTCGATAAATGACTGGCGGTATTTCTGCCAGCTTGTTGTGTCGTAAATCCAACACCTTAAGCTGTGTGCAATGCTTCAACGATTCTGGCAGCGACGTCAATGAGTTCTCATTCAATGCCAGATTCCGCAAATTCACCAGGCAGCCAATCTCCGTGGGCAGCTGCCCAATTTTGTTGCTGTACAGGTAGAGTTCGGTGAGATGGACGCACTCCCTAACCGTATTGGGTAGGACAGTGATAGAGGATTTGCTCAAGTCCAAGCGCTTTATGCCTAACAAAAAGTAAATCCAGTAGTAAAAATCATTGGTTGATTATATGCGCCGATTCCACTTACCTTCGTCGCGGCAACGCTGCAATGCCTTGATGACATCCTGATCCGCCTGGATATTTTTCACAATCTTCTTTGTGGTGGGCTTGGGTTTATTCGATTCCGGATGCTTAACCGTCACCATTTTGGGACGAGTCTCGGGCGGCATGATTGCGTTGATTTCGTTGTGTGTCAGATTGGGACCGTTGCTGCTTGTAGGATTCCCGCCACCACCGTTGACTGTGCTTCTGTTATTTGGATTGAGAGCTGTATCTGCCCGGCCGCTTCCGCCGCTGTTGCCACCGCCGCCGACGACGCCAAAGCAATGTATGGCCTCGGAGGGACCGCTGCTGTTACTCTCTACGTGCCCTGAGGACGATAGTGATGAGGTTGATGCGGTTGCACCAGCCGAGGAGCACAAGTTCATAATTTTGCCCAGTCTTGCGGTCGCCGGCGACAATATGTTGCCCAGAAGTGTGCCAAAACGACAACAACAACAGCTCCAGCCGCAGCCAGTGGAACTCGTAGCTTTTCCCTGCAACGTTCAGATAAAGACAATAAGAAACAGGCTAGGTTGGACGAGGAGTGTACGCTGCCTATTGCAGCCGTTTATCAATTGTGCGTCAGACCGTAATACATGCGAATACTTGGCCAGACACACACACACACACACACACACACACACACACACACACACACACACACACACGCACACACACAGACAGCCGTGCGTCATCGTCAATGGCTTAGCCTCCCGACCCACACCCACGCGCGATTTATTACTTTTGCTTTTGTTTCTCAGTCCTTATTAGCATGCGCTTCAACAAGTTGTCCATAAACTTTGCTGAAACTCTACGCGCGAATCAATAATCAACCCTACAGTCATATCAAAAACAATGTGTTCACCTCGGCCTGTCTAGGTGGTAATGGATCGCATCGTAATTGAGTTTATAAAAACTAGAGCCCAAGCGGGAACGATAATGCAGTAGTTTCTCGCACTTGGAATGCTTCGGCTCCATGTGTTATTTTAATTTAGAAAAATTCTTATATTTAGAAGCTTATCTTCGCATACTACAAATGTGCAGTTTTTATCTAGGGGTCCAGTCTTGTGTTCTGCTAAGGGAGGAGTTTGCCTAAAAACAGACATTTCTTTACTTCATAGACTATGTTTAAACACTTTTCATTTGTGATTAAGAACATTATTATTTTGAACAAGTTTGGAAGTAAAAATGAGTCAAGGAAGCCAGCCCCAAATACTGCACTATATAATATATGTTCGTATTTTATTTACGTTTTCATATACCACCTATACATCTTTATAAACTACATATTTTTAAAGGGTCGGAACCCAGAAAAACGTAATATATATTTTAACTAAATGTTATTAAATATTAAATGTACTGCATTTCATATTTCATTAAATTATGCATGTTCATGAAATGAATTAAGTGCATTTATGAGCCCAACCTCTAGCCATCGATTATATATGCATTTGCCACAAACTTCAGCTGTGGGCGACACCGACATCAAAGCACGTGAACGACCGCACCCAACCGGCCACCCACACCTACGCAGTACAAATGCTGCTCCTGGCCATGTGGCCAAGTGTCAAGGTCAGAGGAGCTGACAATTCCTGCAAGTCCAATGCCAAAGGTGAAGAGCGCACTCAGCAGCAGCAACAACAAGTACGACAGCAGGACAAACCTCAAATTACCGTTATATGGCATTACGCATGACCACGCACACACATATTCACACACACGCAAACAGGGACCGCACAGCGTAGTGCATTATTCAACCTATCAAATTTCCAGTAAATCATAACCCTGTCTTTATGTATGTGCATGCACATATCCATATGTATGTGTGCATGCATTCATGTGAGCAGGTCGCTATATGTTGCCGGTATATAGTAACTGGCAAGTGCTCTGGAATTTTTTCGCAAATTATGTGATAACGAGCAATAGAAACAGAGGTATAACTACATAAGTGCCATAACAAAAGTCTGGCCAAGTCTCTGAGTCTGATTCATGACAAATTGCCATTGCTTCTTCAATCTTCTTTGATAATTATGGGGCATTGTGCGCCATTCCTTCTTTATATTCAGCAGCCTCATCTGCTTATTGTTGTTGTTGTTGCTGTTGTTGTTGCCATATCGTCGCATAAATTTCGCTACGCTGCGCTGTGCTGTTGTTGTGGGTGGCGGAAACGAAACGCAACAACTGCACAGCAGAGATGCGTTATGTGTGATTTGTGCCGCAACAGTTCTGCGAATACACAAATATCTTGACATGCGCTAGAGGCATAAAAGACCTGATAGCAAGTCCATGGCAACAAGTTAGCGTTTAGTTCTTATCTTGTGATAGCATATCTACCTTTGGTGTTATCAGGGATATCTCATTTTTTTCAAACAAATTTAACTAGCATTCTATTCGGTTCGAGAAGTCACGGTATAATCAAAATAACATAAATTGCTCATCTCCAACAAGTAGTCCCCATACAAATCATACACACACAAGCACACACGCACATTCACACAGGCCACCCGCAACATTAGCACTTACAGTTTCTAGTATGAAGCCATTAATTATATTTTGAATTTGTTTTGTTTGTCTTTTACTTGTTTTTCTTTATTTTTTGTATTTTTTGTTCACAAGCACAAATCTTAATTGCGGCAGCGACCAAAGAACAACGCGAGTGAGCAACGAATGTTTTTTATATCTATGGTCACCCTAAGGCTTCAACATTCGCTAAAATGTTATTAACAGCGCACAGACAGTTGCTTCTGGCGAAATTTCCGTTACATGTAGTTCAGTTCTTCACTTGAAAAAATTAGTTATTGTAATTTAGAGAATTTATAGGAAATTTATGAAAAATTACGAATAAGGCTCAAGACTGAATTAAACCGCTACTACCAGTAATAAATGATAAAAAGTGCTTTAACATAGTTATAACAGAACAGCTGTGCTTAACACTATCGATTATTTTTTTGCACAATTCAAAATTAAGGCAACGACCAAAAATCGTTTCGATAAGACTTAATGTTAACCGCTATAAAAATTAGAAGGCTTATCAATATGCGTCTAATATTTCACGAACCATAGATGGCGCCAAGCACGGGTTAAAGTGCCAAATTCAGAGCGAGTTCACGAAACTAATTTAATAGTTATCGATGCGTAGCACATTTAATTGTAGAGAGTAATATTATATACTCAATTTTAAACATGGAAATCACAGATTAAAATTTGATTTGCGCACTGTAGTACACCACACCGGTGATTCTTATTAATAAAATACACGATATGAAACGATTGCATTTTGTCGCTTCAATGTGAAAATAATGTGAAATGCGCAGTTTCAATAACGACACACACTTTGTGGGAGGCAAGCCACACTGCACTCTCCCAATTGGCGGCATTTAATCTTTCGTGGTCGAGGTCTAGGTCATTGAAGTGTGGCTATTGTTATTCAGTGGCAGGGTCGCACTGCCACATTTACATACGCATTAGACACACACACGCATGCCCATACATTGTATGTTTGCACATATTCGCATGCAATCATATGTGTATTGGTGCACACTCGTGCATACGTACGTATATAAATTCTCGAGAATTTTCCTATTAACTCCATCAATGCTTGCTTATAATGTATGTAACTATATAATCGTATGTAGACACGCACACACACACACACACACACATATATATATATATATATATATATTTATACATATATAGTTCATAATGCAGCGACGGGGCTGAAATGTATGCTTCAAAATGATGTGGCCCACAGCTATCCATACATACACACGCACAGACGCACACCCACACACTCTCAGACACACACACACACACACCTACACGTACACACAACAATAGACGGACATTAGATTGTTATACATAAATTATGCGCAATTTGCTGGATTCCATTCTTGCAACTGAATGCCGGAAGCAGGTTGAATGTCAAATCAATTAGCAATTAGGGAGAACTAACCTGTTATTAGATCGCCACGCGACTTAGCTGGAAAATCTTTGCAGCCTTCACCGTGTGTATGTGCTGTTCTGTGTTGCAGGTTCCTTTGCTGCCGCCTGCCCGAACCCAGTTTTTCTTGTCGTTGTCGTTGTCTGCGATTTGTATAAGGTACACTTTTTTTTGTGTTTGTTCTTACACTACAATGCTCATGTTAGGATTGGAGGATATTTTATTGAATAAGAGCGATTCACGTATTTGCATAAATTTAGAGCACGAAAAAAGGGTAGCGCACAATTGAAATATGTATTTTAAAACAGAGCAAAAATTACGTTTAAAATTGAATTATCGCTTATTTAGTTGTGGCGTGACGATACAACAGTTTAGCCAGAGAGAGAGTTACACATAAAAACAGCAGCAACAGCAGTGACAGCATATATCTATATGTATATCCTGGCGATTTGTGTGCCACACAAACACCAAACGAAATTTAATGCGACGCATGCGCCCTGGGCTGTGGCGCCATCTAGCGTCTGTTTCTGTTGCTGTTGCTGCCCTTTCACCGCTAGAGTTCCAGCTTCTGTAGCTCTTCGTTGCTTATAAACTCACAGGCTCTTTGAGATATTATGCGATAATCTGGAAAAGAAAAGCTATACTGTCATTGACATTAAATAGTCACTGTATGATCCACTTACCCTTCTGGTACTTGCAGTTATATATACGCATCACACAGCTGCTGGCAAATGTTCGCAGGCATCCGTCGTGCAGAGCACAAACCACACGATATCTGGTGGGGCAAACATCTTGACACTTATTAGGCACTGTTGAGGCACGCGGAATATAAAACATTTATTTGAATTATATTTTCGAAGCACTTGACGCACCTTGCAAAGTGAACAGTTGTCCATAGATAATACCAATTGGAGCTAGCAATAGAATTACAAGCAGTTTATTGTTAAAAGCTATTCCAGTTTTCATTGTGCTTGCTTCTCGTCTGCAATTGCAGTAATAAAGCTAAATTTAATAACAGTGCGAAGATGCTTCTAGTGAATGTATTTTTTTATTTTTATATTGCTGTGTTTATTTGTTTTCAAAAATTGTGTCAATATTAATACAATTTATAAAAATACTCAAAACTGGCAACAGTTGTGAGGGTCAACTGTGTTTAGTCTGGATGCATTTCAATATATGCGAGATACAGTTTTGTATTTAATATGACATTTTTAGTTCCGATGCTCCAATTTAAACTAGCATATTTATACCTGGCATTCACCCTCACTTGGCTCTCCGATATAAGCTGCAAGGATAAAATCATGTGATAAGTATATAGCTTGTATAGTATATTTGTATATGTGCTCACCCATTTCCTGCTGGCAGGCAAATCGATTCAATAGACAGCGGTTGAGGAAAGATCTGGTCTTCCATCCAGTGGTGCCATCTGCATTAGTATGGGCGAATGAGGCACAAAGTCCACTGCCGCCCAACGGGCAGATATCACTGCAATACTTCATGCACTTCTCACGTGTTGTCTGTTCCATCTCTTGATGTAGATATAGGATATCAAACAGTTATACCTAAGTAAAAGTTCATATTCTACCAACTTGTCTTGCAACTGTTCACACGATTACAGTTTTCCGAGCTGAATAAGCAACCATTTTGAAAGACACGGCAGGTGCCGTCCACAATACTCCAAACCAAATCCTTATAGTAGGGTGAACAGCGAAATGCCAGCTCGCATTTTCTAGGGCAATCGCGGGCTTGGGCCGTGCCCAGGCAGAACAATATGCCGAACAGTGCGATTGTTAGCGACAGTTTATACATGCTGCAGGTGGAAACTAAAAGTTGGCATCATCCGAGTCGCTCATTTATACCGATTTAATGTCAGTTACTATCAATTGCTTTGTTTAATTAATAACAAAAGCCACGATATGTGCTTCATATTTTATATGTGTATTATTATTTTTCAGTTGTACAAATGCGTACCTACACGTACGTTTAAAAAAGCTTATTAACTGAGTCAATAATAAGAAAAACAAGTAAGAGGTTCTAGTAGGGAGCTCCCGACTAGGGGATACCCTGAACCCTCTTCTTCCAACATAATATATATTCTATTTTAGAAGCTATTTGTCAAGTTTGGTGACTCTAGCTCTTATTATTTACCAAAATTGTCCAAAAAACAGGATATCGATATCGATTTTTTATCGATTGCTTGGAAACGGAGTAAGCTATCGATTATCGGAAATAAACTCGATCTGCGCAGGCACTAGGAGGACCTACATCTAATTTGAGGTCTCTAGCTCTAATAGGCTCTGAGTTCCTTGCGTTCATACAGACGGACAGATGGACGGACGGACGGACGGACGGACGGACGGACAGACAGACGGACATGGCTAGATCGACTCGGCTATTGATGCTGATCAAGAATATATATACTTTATGGGGTCGGAGAAGCTTCCTTCTGTCTGTTACATACATTTGGTTTTGCACAAATACAATATACCCTTATACCCATCTTTAATGTGTTCAGGGTATAAAAACAACTTTACTTACTCATAATAGACAACAAAGCTAATATGTTAATATTAATATACCAATCTAGTGTTCATTGTGATTTTTTTGCATTCAATGTATGCCAGAGAATGTGGCAGAAGGCAATGTAAACAAATATCAAGCCGAAAACATTCGAAACTTTTCAATTTTGAATATTATAAAAGGTATAACTTATATTCGCGCATTTTCGGATTTGAGCAAATAATATTTTTTATATCGTATAATAAACAGTTTTGTGTTTAATCTTGTTTTCAAAATTGAAAATGCCGCCTGGCATTTTGGCAACAAATGCATTTTTACAACTTTTAAAGTACAAAAACGACAGATGAATAAACAAAGATGCTGAAATGAAAAGGTTAATACGAGTTACAAAGGGATTTATGAATTCAATTATGAATAATTTTACATGCAATTTTAATTAACCACGTGTTATTTTAATTGTCAAAACACCAGGCTCCTGGCTGCGAGTGAGGCAACAGATCAGTTTACTGGTGGAGCCAGTTATGCGCCGGCTGGGGTTCAATTGGCCACTTGTTGCAGGCAGAGCCAAGCCACAAAAACAAAACAGAAATACAAAAAATATCTTCTTTAACTGGTCGTCTTTGGACGCTGGGCGATTTTTGAAAGTCATCTCGATGGAGCTGTTGTAGTTGTTTTACTGTGCTACCTCTTAAAGGTATTTCGCTTATTTAGAAAGTGAAATGTTTCTTTTTCGGCTTTTATTGAGTTTGATGCTTGAAAATACCGCGATATCGACCAACATTTGAAGCATTTGACAGCGGTAATCATTCTCCTCTCCATCAGCCGGGTGACATGTGCACATATTAAGGCAAACGCCCACCCAACGCCTTCTTGATACTGCCCACCAGTCCACTAGATCGTCGGATCGCAATGAATCCAAATGCTCGGCAAGTGAATGGTAATTGTTTATTATAAGGGTTAACTAGATAATTGAACACATTATTAAGACACTATGAAATTTATTTATTTTTGCTTGCGTTTCTGCCTATGCACAACGGCTACTTTCACGAGATGTCCTGTTTTCTTATTCACGATTAGAAAAATTTTTTTGTGCGTTTTCTTTATTTTTTCCGGTTTTGCTAAATGGGGCTTGGTCGTCACAGATTTCCCTAAGTCGGCAGTACTGATCGTTTTTGCCGGTATGGAACTATGTTTATTTAATATTAACAGATTCCCAGTTCCTGTGAATGCCGCTGGAAGAAATACTTTTCCTGATCCTGTTGACGGCTTCAAGTGCGGCCTATTGATAGTATCGGGATGATAATGAACTAGAATGCCTGATTTTTGCATAGACACATGCTCTTTAACATATTGACTGCTGGACAGCTTGATGAACAGATAACCGATCCACACCCACATGCTGAACATGTCCAACGCTTTGAACTGAACGTTTGTCGACCTATTGCCAGACCTCAAGATTTCAATTAATAGCTTTGTAACGAATCGATTCGTGCCATGAAATGAATTATATAAGTTGAAAATCAAATGGTTAATACTGGCTGCATGTGAGCTGGTAGCACGCCCAGCTCGAGATCATTTAAGGCAGTCCATGATTTATGATCGGAATATAACGAGAGTCATTGAGAAGACGTTGGCTTAAAGCTCACGTTGTAATAATTATCTGGTTGACTTAGTGTCAAAAGTACCTGGAAATAAATGTTCAAAGAAATCATTGTAATGTGCTTATATGATTGCTGCGATTTAGCCATACGCAAATGGGGATTCACCTTTAAAAATGTTTTTCTCACATCTTTTATTGACTCGATTGTTTTGTTGTTTTTGTCAAGAACTTCTCCGAGAGAAAACCAGTTCCCACTGTCTAACAGCCGCTATATAAGCCTGCCTCTTTCAACGAAATCAGCTAGTCTCTAGAAACTTTCCACCAGAATGAAGTTTTGCTTTGCCCTAATCAATTTGCTGCTCTGCTGTGGCATTATAATGGCCGCCGACCGCTGCCCAACTATATGCCCAGCGATATATAAGCCTGTCTGTGGAGAAGCTCTAGTTGGTGGTCAACGAGTGCGTTGCCAGTTCTCCAACAGCTGTGCGATGGCTGGCAATAGTTGCACCAAGGGAATAAGTAAGTTGATTGGGTTAATGTTCATTAAATAAACACAATATATTAGTTTTCTGCAACGTGTCCCATGCTATATATATCCGGATATACCAAGCTATATACTCCCGACATTGAATATATATGCCGTGCCATATAAAGTGTTTTACCTAGCACAACGAGATCAATTAAATCGGAAATGTATATCCTCAAACAGTTTAAGAGACTACAAGTACTTGCTGATAGCTTTCCTTGAATATCCGTGCTCCTTAAATTCGCAAAGAGTGATGTTTTTGCAGTCAAAGTTTGAAAGTGACTGCTTTGGGTCTGCAGTTTTAGAGCCACTAAGCACATAGTTTGTATCTGATGTTACAATGTAAACAGAGATTAAGCAAACTTTTGTAACCGAATTTATTATTATTAATTGACCTTTTATTACTTATTTATTTATGTATGTGTATTTTGCTTTGCAGATTGGCGTGAAACTCCGAATTGCAACGGGCTTTCAGGACGTTGTGGGAGCCTTTTAAGCTAAGCACAACTCAGAATCTAAGAATATATTGTTGGATTTTATATAAAATAAACTATTCTTTTTCTGAAACCTATTTTTCCGCTTTTCACATTTTAGAATTATATTTTCAGATATGGCTTAAAACCAAAAACTTAATGTTATATTTAATTTATGTATCAGTTCAGATTTAACATACTTAGAATTGCCAAGAATTGTTGCAACAATACTTCTATATGAAAAGAATACATTTATTGGTTCAATATTTTGAAGACACATTCGATTCGGCGTTTTTCTAAGTAAAGAATTGAAACAATTACAGTTCTGGGATCGCAACGCTTTTGTTGAAGTCAGGGTTCCAGCTATAGTTTTCAATATGAATATAACTGTAGTTATATGCAGAACTATATCAAGATATATCCCTGTATATCAATTTGTATGCACAATATAGCAATGGTTGAATTAATCTTGCTAAATTTTAAAAATTAACTTGGGAGATCTCATGTAAATCAAGGTCAATCACATTATTTTACGCAGTTTTTAATAGCCAACAAAAATAAATATATATATTAAAGTTTGAGCACACATTTTGTTGGGGCTTACGGGCTAATTACAATCAACAGCTGTTGTTACAACTAACAACACCTACGCAAAGTGTTCCAAAAAAAATATCCCAATAAGCTCAGTTCTCTGTTAAGCTCCAACCGAGATGCCGCAAACGTGGTTACTAGTTCTTTGCGAACTTTTGATATTCTTATATACATTCGCCAAGGCTCGTATGCTCCGGGTTCCATTGGAGGCTCAGAGAAAGCCGGCAAGTCAGTTGTCCCATAGTTTTCTTGCTACCCAGACGCTGCAGCTGATGCTAGACAATAGGGAGAATGTGGAGTATTATGGGCGCATTGCCATGGGTACGCCGCCACAATTGTTCAGAGTGATTTTTGATACAGGCTCAGCCAACACGTGGCTGCCCTCCAGCAACTGCCCAGATAGCAATATAGCCTGTCAGCAGCACAGTCGGTACAAGGCTTACAAGTCGAAGAGCTATGTGAAAAATGGCCGCAACTTCTCGCTGGCCTATGGCAACGGCCATGTGAGCGGCTATTTGTCGCAGGACACGTTACGAATAGCTGATGTAGTTGTGCCCGACCTTATCTTTGGAGAGACCTTGTCGCATCATCAAGCTACCTTCATACCAACGATCTTTGATGGCATTGTTGGACTGGGCTTCAGACAGATAGCCTGGAAAAACTCGACTCCATTCCTGGAGCTGTTCTGCCAGCAGCATCTGGTCAAGCGATGCCTGTTCTCCGTCTATTTACGACGCATGGCCGGCGAGCTGTACGGCGGCGAGATCACATTTGGCGGCATCGATCACTCCCGCTACAAGGGCGCACTGGACTATGTGCCACTGTCCAAGGTCGGTTACTGGCAGTTTGTGATGTCCGGCGTTTCTGTGGGCAACAAGAAAATCGATGGCAGAGTCAACGCAATTCTGGACACGGGCACATCACTGGTGCTAATGCCGCGGCGCATATTCGAGGAGTTACAACAGGCCATTGGGGCTAGGATTAAGAACAAAACCTATATCGTTAGCTGCCACTGGGATTATCTGCAAGATGTTCAGTTCCATATTGGAGACAGGAAGTATGCACTTACTGCCTCAGATTATGTAGTTAGTCTGGAAACTGCAAACGAGACGATCTGTGCGAGTGGATTTGTGCCAATTGAGACCGACTTTTGGGTGCTGGGAGACATATTCCTGACGCGCGTCTATAGTGTATATGATGTGGAAGCCGAACGCATTGGATTTGCCGAAGCAGTCCAAGATGAGGACTAATCAAAAACATTATCATAACGTGTTAAATTAGAAGAATTATTGCATAATTCCATAATATAATAAAAGTTTTTTTAATGATTCATAATATCTATAAGTAAATAGCAAACATTCAATTAATTTTTTATAATTTTAATGATTCATAATAAATTAATAGCTAACAGTAATTAACTTTTATCTGGGGATTTACCTGTTCGCGGGCAAAACTGTAAATCTAGTATTATAGAATCTACAAATGACATAATGATGGTTTGAAGTTTACCTCATAGTGTTAATATTTGCTCTATAATTAATAAGTAAATAAGTCAAACCTGGTGAGCTTGAGCAGAGCGCTATATAATCCCCATGTGTTGCGAATTTTTGAGAGAACGAAACCTGTTTATTTAATCAGCTGATAAGGTGCTTCAGCTCGACCCACCCATTGCCTAAACCTATTCACAAATACATAAACAAAAATATTTACATACAAACAGTAGCTAAAGCTGCTCCCGCCGTGGGCACGTTTTGAGAATATGCTATATAAGCTCATCATATAGAGCATCGCGGCAACAGTCGACGATTCGCTGCTGATCTAATATTTAAAATGAAATTGATTTGGTTTATTTCAATTTTGTTTGGTCTGGCCTTAAGCCACGTCAATGCCAATTGTTCGGCTGATTGTCCCGATACTGAGGATGTAGTGTGGGCACTCGGCGGGGGCAGTTGTAGTGTCTTCCGTAATAAGTGTTTCTTTGACAAGGAGAACTGCCAGCGCAAGCCAGGTGAGTAAAAGAGCAATTAAATTTAAAAAAAATATAAATAAATTAAGAATGATCTGTTCCTGTTCACCTGCAGCTCTGACTATTGCCACCAAGGAGGAGTGCCAAAAGTTGTGTCCCGATATTTGCCCACAGATATATCAGCCGGTCTCAGGCACCTACAAGGGCCAAGTACGAAACTTTGGAAATGCATGCGAAAAGATTGTACATAGCTGCAAAACTGGCGAGAGTAAGTATAATCATCTGTTATATGCAAAACATTTCCCAAAATTCACTTTCTTTCAGCATTCTTGGACTGAGCATAGAAATCCGACTTCTTAACGTTTTAATAAACAGCTTGTGAAAAAAAAAGAAAAAAAATAAACAAAAATATATGCATATTTTGACATTCATTAAAATCTCTTACCTAGTATTATTTCATTTAATATTAGGTGCTGGCAGGTAAGGTGACAATTCAGAATCTCACGGATGTGAAATTTTTTATTTGTATACATAGTTAATCTGATAATCAATTATTATTATTATTATTATTATAATTATTATTATTGTTATTCTTAGAATAGTAAAAAGCTACAAACCTAATTCAATCCCGGATTCTTGATGTTAGGTTGCCTAAATCAATTCGTATAACTTATGATGTCTCTTATGAAGAATAGTGCAAACCATGATATTGAAGTCTTAATAAAAGCAACCTCTCTGCTAGCTCACAAAACAACAATCATATGGTTTTTTATATAGGGCGCATATTCTGTATATCTAGCCCCCATTTGCTTTTATGTGTGCAAGTGTATTTGCAACAATGCTATTAAACCTGTTTAATAACTGAAAGAGGCACGTTTCTACGTCACAACTAATGCGCTGATAAGAACAATTAAGCAATTAAAACGAATTGCATTCTTTCAATTGTGAAGTGGGCATAAATATAGCGTGTTCAAAGCGGATTTGGTGTGATGCGTTTGATTTTCTGCCAACTGCAATTATTAAATAAATAACAACAAATTATTTACCAACCCCGTCCAAAAAAGTGTCAGGAGATATTCACCGAAATTCGTTCACAAGTTTATCAAGAGCCATCGGGGTCAAATAGGAAATAATTACCTGCAAAAATGGGTATAAGAAATTATAATTTATTTTCATAGAAATGTCGAAAATATTTATTAATTTACAAAAATAATAAATGTTCCGATGATGTAGAACTTTTAACAATATTTAATAATGGCACATACTGTAAGCCAATCCAATTTTGGCTTGAAATAAATTCTTGACCACAACATGAAACCTGTTTAGTAACTGGAAGAGGCACGTTCCTACGTTTGCCGGGCCCTAAACATACATTTATAATATATAATAATTTGTGCACTTCTGATGAGGTAAGTTTTCTGTGAATAGCAAATACCCACAAGACAGTAGTTATCGTGGGACCCACTTACGTTGTGCTGAACTTGTGCATAATTTACCAGCTCTTGAAAATAAACTTAGCAAACAAAACGTAGTCTAAAATTCGTTTTATTTGCGAAGTAGTCATTGGTCTGTGAAACTAAAGAGGTGCGTTTTGGTATTTGTCTGGCCCTGAGCCAAATCATTTCCGATTGCCCAGCATATTATGCGGCACTGAACTTCTAATATTTTGTTTTCTTACTTTGAGTCTTCTTTTGAGAGAAATAAACACATGCTTTAATTTGAAGCATGCACATTTTAATAAACAATTCACACTTAGTTTAAGCTTGCATATTTTTACAACATGGTTGCAAAGCCAGTGTTAAACTGAGATAGCGTTTAATTATAGTTTAAATGCATTTTTATATAGAAATAATAGCTCTTAATTAACAATTGAAATTTTTATTTTTATGATTAAAAATAATTGAATTGTCGATTAGGCCAACTAATAAAAACAATATTAATTATATAAACAAACAAATAGCTTAATTACCTCAGGTCTAGCGAAAATCACACGAAGTGGTAGAGCTCTGACGTCACTTCGTGCAAAAACATATAAAAACGAGTTGACTTCTGCTTGAATAGTCAAGTTAGGAAACTACCTGCAGATGAGTGTGATGGCGAAGAGCCGCAGAAATACACTCGTGCTAGCAAGCGCATTAGCTCTTCTTCTGACCATATTGGAGCAAGGTCAGGCGCGCCTGTTCGACTGTAACGTGAAGTACAAATGCTCGGATGAAAAGGAGTATGTCTGGGCAACCGATGAGGAGCGTTGCCACGTCTTTCACAATAGATGTCTGCTAAAGGTGGAACAATGTGCGCGGCTCGACCAAGGCAAGTCGGAGCTGATTGAAACCGACAAGGAGATCTGCAAGCAGAGGTGCGTGAAGGCGTGCAAGAGAAACTTTGAACCAGTCTGTGCACAGTTCTTCCAGGAGGAATATCTGACCTTTAGCAATGAGTGCGAGATGCGGAACTATATGTGTACTAAGGAAAGGGGTGAGTAATTGTGAATATTTTATATAATTTCACGCATTACGAATAGTTTATGTTTTTTTCTTGACAGCCTACTCGTTTTATGCACTGGGCGAATGTGTTGAGTCTCCTTCATCGATAAGTTAAACAATCTGGAACTGCCTTTTCATTGATTAAAATTTAACAATATTGGACATACAACATATAAGTATGGGCATCAATGTCATTGCACAAAGATAATAAAGATTTACTGCTGTTTAATCGGAATTCCATATCAAATGCGATTATATCAGCCGGGCTCTGAAAGCCAATGACCTGCATTTACCCACTTAAGACTGACGCACGTTGTTTTTAGTTACTATCTAAAATCTCATTACACTTGACGCGTGCTGTAAAGTTCAAGTTCGAGCTCCTGGGTTTAAAGAGCAATAACCAATTTGGGTTAATTCTCACTAAAAACTGGAGCAAATCAAGAGTGTGCAAAACTTTTCCAAAAGTGGTTGTTAGATTAATCAAGTACTTAATTTTGTCATATAGTTAACTGTTTTATGGCGCTTGATCAGTTTTGTGGAGTGGGACTATAAAAGGGCAAAGATGTCCTAAGGAAAGCATCAGTTGCCAACAAGCAACAATTAAGCCATATACACAAATAGCTTTGGCTGAATAAAACAAAATGACTGCTGCTCTCGTTATCATTTTGAGTTGTCTCGCATACGGCTTTGTAGACTCTTCTCCGTCGTCTTCCTACTCGTCGTCAGTTGGTGGACGTCCAGAGGCACGGGGTGCTTACGTTTCAGGGCCAATTGTTACCCGAGCAGCAATGCCTGGACCTGTTGTGTCTGGACCATCTTCATCTTATTTGCCACCAGGTCCTGCTGTTTCTGTGCCTGTTGTCACTGCACCAACTGTACCAGTTGTACCTGGAGTTCCATCTAATGTGGCTGGTAAACGGCCATCTTCTTATCGCCGTGGAGCCTATGGACCTGTTGTCGCTGCGCCATCTGTACATAGACCAGCTGTCATCGGAGCACCGTCAATTGTGGGTGGTGTTCGCCCAGCTGTCCATGGCGCTGTTGTGCCTGTGCCAGCTACCCAGCTACCAGCGCCAGTTCCACAACGACCACACTTCGCTGGAGCTGCCCCAAGACCGATCCCAGCAGCCGGAGCTGTTTCAAGCGGCCCAATCTTCTCTGGACGTCCTCTAAGTGGCTACGGCTCGCGCACTGTCGGTTCCAAGGCTCCCTACTAACTAAGCATCAGAGCAACATGACTTCGTGATTGACATTTTAAGGCCCGAACTTTTTGAACCAATTCTTCAAACTATGAGCATAGAATTACAAATGCAATTTAAAACAAATAAATAATGCAAACAAATAATTAAACAACTTTTAAGAGTGCTTAAGCTGGAAATGCCCGAGGAGCATTTGAACCAACCTATATATATTATATACCCAAAACTACGCTGAGCTCTCATTGCGCACTTTATGTAGGGACTGTGCTTATTCTTCCCCCAGCGACACACTTAGGAAAAAGCAGCCTTGAATCTTTAGTTTTGGTTTTTACAGTCTGATTCTTATAATTAGGGAGGAGAGCTATCAAAAAAGTAAAATAATCTTAATCGGTGTGTATAGCTCCTTAATTCATTGATTTATGCTTAAAAACCCATTTCACAAAATCAATATTAATGGATATTCTAAAACTGGGTGGACACATTGAAAAATAAAACTAGATAGTTCGATATGGGAACATATATTGCAAATTTCGAATCATTAACTTTTGTAGTGTCCTAGATGGATGCGTTCATACCAATAGGCGGAAGGACACGGACAGATGGACTCAACTCGTTGGTGTGATCAATCCTATATCTATTTAATGATTATTTTTTTGTGCAAATGTAAGTAAAAGGGAAAACATACATTTCAATACATTTCATACAGAAACATTAAAGAATTAAATGTTAATTTTGTTGTCTGTAAGTCTGTCTCCAACGCTTTGTAACCCAACTCCACGTCAAGTGGCGAAAAATTTTTAACATTTTATGGCCCGCAAATCTCTAAAAGCGATATGATAGGGCTAACAATTTCACTCATTACATTTAATAATTATTTACTATATATTTAATAATAATAATAATAGTATTTATATTTATTATAACTAAGAACTTTTAACAAATTCTGAATATGGATCCCTTGGGTTTAGAGGTTAAGCACCGACTTTGAGTGTTCAGCAAATGATTTTCCTAAAAGTACTTATTTGATTTATTACGCTTTTAAATTTGCATTATTGTAAACTGATTAATGTGTACGGGCTAATTGAAAAACAAATGCGATTGGTGAATGAATTGTATGAAATTGGATCTATAAAAAAGTCGATCTTCACCAGAAAGAGCATCACTTCCAAACAAGCAACCATTAAGCCACATTCACAAATAGCTTTGGCTAAAAAAAAACGAACATGGCAGCTACTCTCGCAATTATTTTGAGTTGTCTCGTATACGGCATTGTGGCCTCATCTTCCTACTTGACACCAGTTGGAAATACGCCTGGCGGACGCCCAGCAATTCAAGGGGCTCCTGTTTCTGACCCAATTTCATACCGACCAGCCCTCCCAGGACTTGCAGTTTCTGGACCCGCTGTTTCTGGACCATACCCATCTTATTTGTCACCAGTTAAAGGAGCAGCCAGAGGTCTATCTGTCGTAGGTCCTGCTGTTTCAGTTGTCTCTGCACCAACTGTACCTCGACCTGCTGTTACTGGAGTTCCATACAGCGTGGGAAGCAAACGCCTTTCTTCTTATCGTCCTGCTGTCTCTGGAACTGTTATCTCCGCCTCAACTGTACAGCGACCAACTTTCATCGGAGCCCCATCTAGTATGAGAGGTGTACGCCCAGCTGTCTATCGTCCCGCAGTTCCTGGAATCGCTGTCCCTGTTGCACCTATTCCGCAGCAACCATATTATGCTGGAGTTACTGCAAGAACAAGCCCATCGGTCGGAATGGGCGCAGCTCGTCCAATCTCATCTGGCTATGGTTCCCATACCGTTGGCTACAAGGCTCCCTACTAATTGATTATTGAACCTATAATATCCGAGCTGCCGACTCCACTTGACCCATTTTGTGCATAAAACTAAAAATTGTAAATATTTATTTGCATAAAGAATAAAATATAAATATTCTCCAACGATTTAAAAAAAAGAAAACTCGCTTTTTACTCGTTATTATTTGGTATGCAACTTGAATCAATTTTATAAAATTTGTTATATTACAATAGTAAGTAAAATTTAACAGTAATAAGAAACATGTCTTAGTATGTCTTAGATACGAATGTGATCAGAATATCATCTTTTATAATCTTTAATATAACAATTTTCATATACCATTGTATATTTTAAAATAGATATTGAAAATTATTTTTATCTGGGAAAATTAATACTGTTCCCAACATTCCGTGGTCGATATTGACAACACATTCGGTCATGTGTAAGAAATGGTCAAATGAAGATTTCGAAAGAGATGAGTTTGAACTCCTCAAGATACAAAGGAAAATTGATTGGGACAGTTTTACTAAAGGTTTGTGAGGGCAGATGTATCAAATTCTGATTCAGAAGAATTCTGGTGCTATAAGTCAATAATAATATATTTTTGGGATTTTCATTTAAGTTAATATTAACTTATAAGAAATATTTATTGTAAAAATGAGTATATATACATATTAAGCAAACCAGCCCCTTTATTACCCATAAGTAAAGAACAGTTAACTTAAATACTTAAATACTAAATAATTTTAATATTAACTGGTTTTTGATTATTTGATTATTATCGATTATGTATGTGCATGCAGTATGTAGATTTTTGTTTTGTTCCACCCGGCAACAAAGTTCAAACCTGACGGACAAGAACAACAGCATCAATTAATTGAACCTTGGGGTATTCCGAGGCATACTTTCCAAAAAAAATAAGAGTAATTAGTTAGTAGAATAATTAACAAGTACTTAACTCATATTGCAAAGTGATGTGTTTAATGTATGCCATAAATTATCGCTTAGAAAAGCTTGGCAGATATCCATTTAGATATACTAATTAGGTTACAAGATGTGGGTCAATATGCAAAAAAATAAAAAAGTATTCACTGGCTGGATTAATTTTTGTAAGCAGGAGTTATAAAAGCGTCAAAGTATCTCAAAGAGCGCATCAGTTGTCAAGCAATCTCATAAGGAGTTTATTCAATTTAAATACAAATTGCAAATATGGCTGTCACTTATTTTGTCCTGCTCAGTTGCCTGGCATATGGAGTTATAGCTTATCCTCCAACAACGGCTTACTTGTCGCAAAATGGAGCTGGCTCAGCGGCTTACAGACCTGTTCTCCCAGCTGTTTATGGATCTGTTCATGGTGGCCATAACGCCTACAATGGATTTGCTGGCAGACCAATCTCATCAGTTGGCATCGATTCAATTGGCCCAATTTCGTCCGGCTCAATCTCTTCCGGTTATCAGCATGGTAGAGTTTACCAGCAAGTACAACATCTTCCTGTTCACGGAGCCGTCATTGGCCAACATATCGGAGCTCCAATTGGCATTGGTTATCGCCATCCCAATGCTGGCTATCATCATGGCATCGCGGCTCCAGTCTCTTCGGGATATAGTCATCACGTGCTTCCTAGTAAATATGCCCACGTGCCTTACTAAATATTCTCCGTTGGCTTTGTCGCTATGATATCTGAACTGTTAATACCACTAGAACGTCAATGCACATCGAATTGTTTTTATATCCAGTACAGTTTTTATAATAATGTTTACTCGTGCTGCGAATTCGAAAAGAATAGCTAAAAAAAATGAATAAATAATACAAATTATTGAAAAAAATTTGTGTCATTTTTGTCGACTTTTTCCTAATGAATATTTTAGCTGCATATATTAAAATATATTTTCGTTGTATGTACTTATAAAATGAGTTTTGGACAGCTGCTAATACAATGCATAATACATGAGCTATAAGTAGTTAAGACCGTAGCCAGGTCGGTTTTGCAATTCCTCATTAGCTGTTGCCATCGCCATAATTGGCATATAGAAGACTTCATTATAAGTAGCTATGGCTTGATTTCGGATTGTTCGTCAAAGGTATTTAATTATATTTACCCTCAGCGAAAGCCAAACGAGTGCGAAAAGAAAAAATTGATCGTGAGGCATTTGAAAAGAAACCTTCGCTCACCCAATACTTAAATAGCTCAGGGTCGGCTATGGTCGGTTTAGTTGTTTGGCTCATGTCCA